AACAAATGGTTTTTATATGGTTTTTCCAGGAACCTATAGTGAAAAACAAGTTTACCCTTTAAGTGACCTATATGCTGGATTCAAAAGAGCCAATGAGATACCTGTTACTGTGCTAGGAGGGAAACTGACCACTGTACCCTATAAAAGATCTGTACCCCAAAGCGCGGTGTGCCAGTTCACTGAAGCTCCGGCTGAGGTTTCGCTGGGCACCCGCAGGCGCCTGTGTATCAATAAATCGCCTCTTGCTTTTGCAGCCAGTGCCTCGTGCGTCTTTCTTGGACAGGGAATCGGTGGGTCTTTCAACTGCAAAAGCAGGGTCGGGGGAGACTGGAGGAGCGAGGGCAGGACGGCCGGGAACCACCTCCAGGGGCCTAGAACCGCCTGCTGCCTCAGTGGCCCACCACAAACTCCCCCCGCCCCCGCCCCGGACGAGGACGGAACCCAGGGGCGCTTAACCACCGAGCCACGCCCCGACCCTTTATTTTTACTTGGGGCTGAGCTGCTGAGGCTGGCCTCCTGCTGGCCCCTGCCTCCTTTGGCCTTGCCTCCCCAGCAGCCAGACCAGCGACGCCTCTGCGCCAGCTTAAGGCGACGGTGCCATCCGCCCGCAGGTCGGGCCCTGGGTGGGGTCCTAGACCCTGGTCCGGCGCGGCCCACCCCACACGGGGGTCCCCGCTCACCTGCCCGACGCCTCCACACCCGGAAGTCCCAGCGCCGGCCGCGACGCGGGGAAGGGGCAGAGGGGATGGAGGCCGCTGCACAGTACCGAGGAGGCCACGCCCACCGCGGCCTTCTGCCGAGAGAGACTCCGGGACCCAAGATGGCAAACCCCTCCCGCCCCTCAAGGCTTCATCCTTCCGCTTGACCGGGACGGTCTGCGACGCCGTGCTAACCGCGAACGTTCTCGGAGGCCAGTGCCTGCCCCAGACCGACCGGGCGCCGGCGGCATCTTGCGCGTTTGGCCGGGGAGGAAGAAAGATGGCGGCTCCCTAGGGACGCCATGGGAGCGGCCATCGTGGAGGACGGCGGATCCGTACACAAGGCACGCTAGCGCCCGCGACCCGGAAGAGATGCCGGGTCGGCGCACGAGACGCACAGAAGGGCGTGCGCACCGGGCAAGGAGGGCATTCTGGGTTGTGACGCAGGCGTACGTGGAGCGCGAGGAACCAGGATTGGGTGCAAGGCGAAGCCGGGAATGGGCCGGGGCCTGTGAATCGCGGGCTCTTGCTCCGGACTGTGCAGCTGCCTCCAGCGGGGAAGGGGCTGAGGGTCAGGAGCTGCAGATTGTCTGTCCTTCCGGAAGCAAGCCGAAATGGCGGCAGGCTCTGGGGATGGGCCGTCAGGAGGCCGCGGTCCTAACGCCTTGCGTAGGTACCAAGGTTCTGCCTTTGTTTTTAAGCCCACTTAACCTCCGGCGGGCGCCGGCCCTTCCTGTGATCCTAGCGGATCGGGAGGCGGAGGCTGGAGGAGCACAAGGTCAAATCCAGCCTCAGCAACTTAGGAGACTGGGGACGTGGCTGAGTGGAGGAGCAGTAAGGGTTCGATTCCCAGTGCCCAGGGGCAGAAATAAGGACACAAAAAAGCCTGTATTACAGTTGTCAGTATAAAATTTAACTGTATTTTCAGAGTACAAAAAAAAAAAAAAAAAAGGCAACCGGCAGATAGTGTGTGTCATCTCGCTGGTAGCAATCAGGTTTGGTTTCTTTCTTTTTTTTTTTTAATTGCGATTGGTTTAATAGCATGAGGATTTGTACTAGAGGTAGAGAATAATTGTTTACTTAGAAAAAAACTATTTTGCGATTCTCAAGTTAACATGTGTAATCATTAATTACTTTATCATAAACATTTTGGCTTTAGAAAAATAGTTTTAGATGATTGATACAGAAGGTCACCACACAGTAAATATAAAAGACTCGTCTCATTTCCCTTTATAAGGTACTCTGACATACATTTGAACATTTTGGGAGAATATATTGTTATTGATTCCTAGGTACAGTTATGGTGATTTGAGATTTTTTCATTTTGCTCAGATGTGTTTTCTAACTTCTGTACAGGAATTTATTAGTTTTTGTAACTGGCCCACTGTAACACTGAGCAACATCTCCAGCCCTTTTAAATTTTATCCTGAAACAGGGATTCACTAAGTTGCCAGGGCTGGCCATGAACTTGAAGTCCACCTGCCTCAGCCTCCTGAATTGTTGAGATTATAGGCATATGCCACCACATCTAGCTTGTTTGATTTCTTAGCGTTATTATGTTCCCTCCAGGAAAGTTTCTTTTAGAAATACAGTGTCCTGGGCTGGGGATATAGCTCAGATGGTAGAGTGCTTGCCTCACATGCATATGGCCCTGAGTTTGATCCCCACCAACATTAAAAAAAAGAAAAAAGAAATGCAGTATCCTAGAAAAAACAGAAACAACCCTGTAGTGTTCTAGACTTACAAATATATCTCCTTTCCATACACTGAAGTCCTGGCTCCAATTCCATCTGCCCAGAAAAGTCTTCCCTGAAAACTTACTAAAATACGCCTTTGAGTACAATCAATGAATGCACCAGACTTTATATTTCTTCCTAGTTTTTATCATCTCTAGTTTTTATCATCTGAATTGTGGAGGTTTTTGTTTGTTTTCTGGTGGTGCTGGGGATGGAACCCTCGACCTTGTACAGGTGAGGCAGGCACTCTACCAACTGTACTGTATCCCCAGCCCCCAGCTGAATTGCTTTGTGTGGATTCCATCTCCTCATAATCCATCAAGGCCATCACTTCACCTGCTTGGTTCTCTGATGTGTTCCCAGTGTTGACAACAAGGCCTGCAACATACAGAAGCTAACCACAATGAAACTCAAAGGAGGATCCACTCAACGTGGAATTGGGGACCAAATTCTACATGGCAGAGATGATTAGAGGACTCAGCATTTATAAGCTGGATTAAATAAACTTAATGATATCGAGGGAGATAAATGGAGAGAGAAAACAAGGTCCTTATTCCTAGGAAATCTAGAAATTTTTTCAAGCAGACTTATTTAAATTGATGTTCTGAAAAAGAGGAAATAATGGAAGGAAATGTATCATTGGGAATAAAATAAAAGCAACAAAAGAGTCAAATATCAAATATGGTAGGCTATGTGCCTTTGAATTTCAAAAATTGGGTTAAAACAAAAAAATTATCGTCTCATATGGTTTCTAGTAGATGTCAAGGTGTTGACAGACATTTGCATCATGGAAATGTAAGTTAAGGCCATGATTATATTCCACCACACACCCAATAAGGCTAACTCAGTTCCAAGTGCTAGAAAGGACATGGGACAATGGAGTGCTCACACTTCATTAGTGGGGATGTATACAGCCACTGTGGAAAGTAGCTTGACAGTTTCTTATAAACATACACTTATGAACCAACGGTTGTGTTCTTCAGTGTTTATCGCAGAGACCTAAAAACTTAATGTTCACACAAAATTAGATACATAGCTGTTCACAGCATCTGAATTCATGACAGCAAAATAGTGGAAACTCAAACGTCTATCAACAGTGGAGAAACACCATGGTTCAGCCATACAAAATCCTACTAACAACACACCCAACAACTTAGATGGATCTTAAAAGGCAATTTACTGAGTGAATAAAAGTTATATATGTTATGATTCTAATTTAATAGCATTCGTGAAATGACAACATTATGGAGGGAGGTTAAGTGATCGATGGTTGCTGTGGCTTTGCGTTGGGGGATGTGACATTTCCTAGTGTTGGCACAACAGTTTGGCATCCTAATTGTGGTGAACTTTTACATGTGGATATGTAAACAAAATTTTGTATATGTATACAAAATTCTTCAGAACTCTACACACCAAACCACACCATTTTAGCATATGCAAAAACTAGTAAGGTCCTGCCAGCTTGGTGGCACATGCCTGAAATCCCAGCAGCTCAAGAGGCTGAGGCAGGAAGAATTAGAGTTCAAAGCCAGCCTCAGCAAATATGAGGCACTTATAGCAACTCAGTGAGACCCTGCCTCTAAATACAAAATAGGGCTGGGGATGTGGCTCAGTGGTCAAGTGACCCTGGGTTCAAACACTGGTACGAAAAACAATAACTAGTAAAGTCCAAATAAGGTCTATAACTTATAGGCCTGGGAAGTGGCTCAGTGATAAAATGCATGCTTAGTATGCACAAGGCCCTGGGTTTAATCTCTAGTACCAAAAAAAAGCAATTATACTAATGTCATTTGAATTGGTTTTGTGTATTCTGGTTAAGATAATTGTCACTAAAGAAGCTGCATAAAGGCTACCCAGGAACATATATTTTGTAATTTCTTATGAATCTAAAATTCTTTCAAAACATTTTTTAGTAGAATCATATTTTGTAAATTACTTGATGCTACTTTAAACTTAAATATGAATTTACAGAATTAATATATTCCTTTTAAAGGACATCAATAGAGCCTAAGATATGCTTGAGTTAATTATATGATACAAGATGAGCACGTAACACTCCTGTATTGTATATATGCATTAAAATTAGTGATTAAAACACCTCACTTTAAAATTATGGATAGTTGATATTACTCAGGTTATCCTGTCTCAAAATGGACATCAAATATGATGACTTTAGACTTGTGATAGCCCTCCAATAGACATCATTTTCATGAGACTTCTTTACTACACTGATTTTCTGAATTTGCTAAAGCATTCTCTATTGCAAGGCATGGTGGTGCACGCCTGTAACCCCAGTGACTCCCAAGGCTAAGGCAGGAGGATTACGATGTCAGTCTCAGCAACTTAGTATGACCCTGACTCAAAAAAATAAAAAGGGCTGGGGACACAGCTAGTGGTAAAGTGCCCCTGGGTTAAATCCCCAGAATCCACTCCACAAAAAGTCATTCTACATTTAATGTGTTGTTAAGTTTTATTTCTGTGTGCATTAATGACAGATATAAGAAGCAGAACATATTACTGAAATCTGCCCTATTCATATTACTGAAATATGCCACACTCACATTTGAAATTCTTTCTTGTCCACAGTAAGATACCTGACAACTATTAAGGTTTTATTTCCAGGTAATGGCTTTCCTATGATCATTATGTTGCTACTATGTAGGAGTTCATTGATGGTCTCTTTTGATCACTAATGAGTTAAGAGTTTTTATTTTCTCATGGAAGGCCTTTCTAGTCTCTCTTTTATATTTATCTCATTATACACTTTTTTCAAGACTTTTCTGCCTTAAATGTATCAGAATGTTTTTCTGTTTATTTTCACATACTATGTGAGGTAATTACTGAAGGCACTAGTACATTCTCTGTATTCATTAAATTTTCACCCTATGCAAATTCCACAATCTCCCAATGGTGAAAATCTATGAACAGGTTGCTCTATGCTATATAATCATATGTGTTAGAAGCACAGTGATGTTTAATGAGTTCAAAGTACTAACACAGTTTGCCCCTACATGAGTTTGCTTATATGTAATGAGTTGAGATTCTGTGCAAAGAATTGCTACTGTCATATTTTTGATGAAGCCTGACAGGACAGCAAGGAACCCTAATAACTGAATGAGTAAAGTTTCTTCTTCCTTGTATGAATTCTTTGATGTACACTAGGTGCATCATATAATTTAAAGACTGATTCATGTTGAGGGCATTCCCATACTGAGTTAATATGGTCCATCTCCTGTGTAAATTCCTTCATGGATGAGATGGAAGGTGTATAAAACTTTTCCACCCTTATTCTACACAAAGAAGTCTATCCTATGTGAAATCTTGGAATGTTACACAAGACTTTTTCTACCTGAAGGCATTACCATGTTCATTATATTATTAGGGTTTGTTTCCATTATGTATTCGCTGATGTACGATGAGATTTCTCTTTGAAGAAAAGCCTTTCCCACATTCACTGCATACAAAGGGTTTCTCTCCAGTATGAGTTCGCTGGTGAACAACTAGGCGACTTTTCACAGTGAAGCCTTTACCACATTCATTACATGCATATGGTTTCTCTCCGGTATGAACTTGCTTGTGTAAACTGAGCTCGGTCTCCATGGAAAAGCCTTTTCCACATTCATTACATATGTAGGATTTCTCAGCTGTATGAGTTTGCTGATGTACAACAAGATAGCGTTTCATGGTGAAGCCTTTTCCGCATTCAGTGCATGTAAACGGTTTCTCACCAGTATGAGTCCGATGATGTACCACAAGATTGCTCTTGAAGGCAAAACCTTTTCCACATTGACTGCATATGTAGGGTTTCTCTCCAGTATGAGTTCGCTGATGTAACATCAGTCCACTATTCACAATGAACCCTTTCCCACATTCACTGCATTTGTAAGGTTTCTCTCCAGTATGAGTTCGCTGATGTACAATCAGTCGGCTCTTCAAGGGGAAGCCTTTCCCACATTCACTGCAGATGTAGGGTTTCTCTCCTGTATGAGTTCGCTGATGTATGATGAGCATGCTCTTCACAGTGAAGCCTTTTCCACATTCATTACATAGATAGGATTTCTCTACTGTATGGTTTCTCTGATGTACAATGAGATTACTCTTCCTGGGAAATCCTTTTCCGCATTCATTACACACATACGGTTTCTCTCCAGTATGAGTTCGCTGATGTTCAATCAGACGACTCTTCATAGTAAAGCCTTTCCCACACTCACTGCATATATATGGTTTCTCTCCTGTATGATTTCGCTGATGTATGATGACATAGTGCTTTGTGGTAAAGCCTTTCCCACATTCACTACAGATATAGGGTTTCTCTCCTGTATGAGTTCGCTGATGTATAATAAGCATGCTCTTCACAGTGAAGCCTTTTCCACACTCACTACACACATAGGACTTCTCTCCAGAATGGTTCCGCTGATGTACAATGAGATTACGCTTGCCCGGGAAGCCTTTTCCACATTCACTGCACGCATAGGGTTTCTCTCCAGTATGAGTTCGCTGATGTTCAATCAATCGGCTCTTCATAGTAAAGACTTTTCCACATTCACTGCATATACAGGACTTCTCTCTTTTATGAATTCTCTGATGTTCATTGAGCCTGGACTTTCTGGAGAATACTCTGGCACACATATTGCATCCATAGGGTTTCTCTCCTGTATGTACCCTCTCGTGATCAGTGAGCTGAGACTTCTTGAAGAAGGCTTTCCCACATTCACTGCACACATGGGTTTTCTCTATTTCATGGATTCTCTGATGCTTAATGACTTGGGACTTGTCACTAATGGGTTTTCCGCTTACAGGTAACTTAACTGCAGAATGGAATTCCTCATACGTCTCTTTCAGAAATGATTCCACATTTCCCTTAAATTTAGTAGAGTTCTTATTGCCATAGTTTTTGTTTTGGTTGACTAAACTTAAATTTGACTTCAAATTCCTTATATATACCTCAGTCCTACTATGATTTTCTTTGAAAGGAAAATGACTTTTGTTTTGAAGTTCATATTTTTTTATAATCTTCAGCATTCTTTGATGTTCTGAGCGACCCTGAAGATGATCAACTTTGTCATTTTCTAGGAAACAAGAGAACAATGAATCCTTCATAACTTCTGTGGAATATATCATAGAAGAGTACTTGCATGAGAGAAGCCCTAGGTTCAATACCCAGCACTGTAAGTTTAAAAAAAATGCATGGAGGAGATAAACTGAGGCAGACATAAATTATGACCTGGTTTGGACTAGAAGTGATACCGGATGCAAAACAGTCCTTTCTAGTTATGATAGTCAACAGAAGCAGACCTTTAAGGTCTACATGTGTAGAAAGAACTTTATAACATGCAAGATGCCACCAGCATGAACAGGATGGTGAGATGGTCCTTTTTTAAATACCTTTATTTTATTTATTTTTATGTGGTGCTGAGGACCAAACCCAGTGCCTCACACATGCTGGGCAAATGCTCCACCACTGAGCTACCACCCAACTCCAGCGAGATGGGTTTTTTGTGGAAGGAAGATGATTCCTTTCCTCAGAAACTGGAAAGCCACAGGCCAGCTGCCATAGAGGAAAGTAAAACAGGTAGGACTAAAGTACATATTAGGCAATATTAAGCAAGATATCAATTGAGAGTCTCATTTAGAGAACAAAGAAAGCTCAATCATGGTACAAAGACCAAATTTAAAGATTAGAAAAACAGCACAATAAAACAGAAAAACTATTGAAGAACCCTCAGAATGGGGGAAAACAGCTAAGGAATCATCTAAATTCACAATAAGCTCAAATTATAGTGAGGACACGATATACATGGTGGGTCTGGATGTTCAGAAGAGGAACTGGTCATTCCCAATGGAACAGGAAAGCAGAAATCAGAAGACAGATGATGATTTCACAGATCTCTATATGGAACGAGGTCTGGAAGGTGGAATTCCAAAGAACAGGTAGAGACACTGTGACAGGTATAAAAAGGGGTAAGAGGAAAAAAGTAATTTAAAACGGCAGGGTGATAGAAGCCAAGGAACAAAATTAGGCAAACAAACAAAAAGCAAGATGAAATAGGCAAGTATCAGATCTCCAAAGACAACAAAAGGATATACTTCCCTCTCAAGACCTAAAAGAAACATTCTGAGATGGGGAAAGAGATCCATGCAAGCTGTGTTTCTGTATACTCAGATACCGATATGTCTTTTTCTGACCAATTAGAATAAGATTCTGTGCTGAAACATCTTGCAGTTCTCACCTGGACAGATCCAAGTGTGCATTTCATCTTCTGTCCAAGGTTCTTCCCCTTGTTCCAACTTGGAAAGAGCATCTGGCTTGCTGGCTGGATACCCTGTTTGTGGGAAGTGAGAAAAGACTTGGACACAGCTATGGGGCTGAGATGTGTCAACATGGGAGAGGTTATGTTCAAGGATTAGACAGCTTTCCAAACTGCAAAGCAGAGGCTTTTCTCTCAGGAGCTAGCACATTAGACCCTCTTGTCTGGAACCAAGAATCTACCAGGAAAAAGCGCTACAGAGCTCTGGCTCATTAAGTAGCTATTAAAGGAAAAGCCACAGACTTGCACCCTCTGCGCTACACAGGGCAGCCATCCTCACCCACTGACACCAGATTGCTGTAGTTCTCCAACATCACGTCCCGGTACAGGTCCTTCTGCCCTGGGCCCAGGAGCTGCCACTCCTCCCGAGTGAATGCCACAGCCACATCCTCCAGTGTCAGCAACTCCTGTAATAACAGAACCCTAATTAATCTGAGGGTTGTTATTTACTGATTCACAAAGAATGAAAAGGAAGTTGTGCTGCTCATAATAATGTATATTGGCTGAACATATAAGCCTACTGTATTTTTAATACATAGTCATAGAATCAATCTCCAGATATTCTACAACTGTGCAGTGAGCTATTCACCCAACCAAGTATAAGGTTTCATAACATGCACCATTAACTCATTAAAAACAAATTTTATGTACAATTTTTCATTTCAGCATCTATTGACAATCAGAATATTAAATACTGCTGTGGATGTGGCTCACTGGGTAGAGTGTTTGCCTGACCTGCCCCAAACCCTGGGTTCAACCCCAATACCACAAAAATGAAAGAAAGAAAAATTAAATGCTGGTGACATCCAGACATATACTATAGATTTCTGTATGTGAGTCTTCCTGACTAACACCAGAGTAAAACATGGAAGAGATGCCAGAACTTCAGGACACTATATAAGTGTTTAATTACAGAATGCAACAACAACAACAAAAAGAAATATACATCAAGTATAAGAATTGTTATAGACTGATCAAATTTGAAAAAATTATTTTTTTGAAAACATATGTATTAAATACATGTATACATAAGAATGCACCCCCTCACACACACACACACACCCCTATATATCCAGATATCTGCTTATAGAAAGGTTAAATTAGAACAAACTGAAAAGATAATGAACTGGAATGTGCATTTTAAAAAATAAATAATCAGCTGGGTACAGTTGTACTCATCTATAATTCCAGGAACTTGGTGGCTGAGGCAGAAAGATCTCAAATTGAAGGCCAGCCTCAGCAACTTAGCAAGGTCCTAAGCAACTTAGCAAGACCCCGTTTCAAAATTATTTTAAAAAAAAAAAGGGCTGGGGATGTGGTTCAGTGGTTAAGGGCCTTGGATTTTATCCTTGGAATCAAAATAAATAAATAAATAACCAAAAATGAAGCAGAAAGCCAAGCATGGTGGTGTGCACCTGTCGTCTCAGCTTCTTGGGAAGCCAAGGTGGGAGGGCTTTATGAGCCCACAAGTTTAAGGCCAGCAGAGACACAAAAGGCAAATTTAACAAATATGGAGAACAGTGAGACATAAACCTACACATAATTCATACTCAAATAGAAAAAATATACAAAGATCTGAAGAGTAAGCAATTTTCAGAACTGATAAAACATGCCACAACCAGAGTTAGTTATATTAACCGCAAAGCCAAGCCAGAAATCTGCATTTAGGTATCAGATAGAAACTACGTAACACTAATGCAAATGTAAAATTATGACAACACTAGAAAAACAATACTACAAAGAAAAGATAACATGTACTGACAGGTGACTTCTCCACAAATACGGTGCAATCCAGAGAAGTGTACAGTAGCCTCTTCATGTGGCAAAGCAGCCTAGCCCTGACTGCCGCTGGAGAAGGAACTGGGACCTGCTTGTCCACTACTGCATTCTTCTGTCTCAACATGGCTTGCAATCATAGAGCAGTATGGGAAATTGAGATGGGGAAGCCTAGGGGGAACCGAAGACATTTTATCCCAATGTCATTGCAGAGATTATTACACAGAAAAGAAAGAAGACTTGGTAGAGGCCGCAAAAACTTCTTTTAAAGAGATGAAATCTTGCAATGTTGTCCAAGCTGGCCTCAAATGACACTCTCTCTTACCTCGGCCTCCTAAGCAGCTGGGACTACAAGTCACTGTCCCTGGTTTAAGGCTACAATTTTTTCCCTCAGTACTGGGAATTAAGCCCAAGACACTCTACCACTGAACTACATCCCAGCCCTTTTTACTTCTTTATTTTTTTTATTTTGAGTTAGAGTCTTCCTAAGTTGCCAATCATCCTACTTCAGCCTCCCAAGTCGCCAGGATTACAGGTGTGTGGCACCACACCCAAGGAGGCTGCAAGTTCTTTGTTTTTAAGCTATAGGTGGACACAATAACTTTATTTTATTTAACTTTCCTCTTTTTTTAATGTGGTGCTGAGGCTCAAACCCAGTGTCTCACACATGCCAGGAAAGTGCCCTACCATTGAGCAACAACCCCAGTCTCTGGAAGTTCTTAACGCTGCTGTTCTTATCACATTCTGAATTATTTCACATGAAACAAATCCCCTTAGAAAATACACAAGCCAAAAATCATATAAACAACCCCTATTAAGCTAAGAAAAAAAGATTTTTAATATACAAATAAGAATAGGCATTTCACAAAAGAAAAAAGTCCTAACCAACAAATATACAAAAGACTTCAATTCTACATGTAACAAGGAAAATGAAAATAAGGAAAATGTAAAATAAGGAAAAAGAATATTAGGACACTCAGAAGAAGATTGAAAATTATGTTTTTTCTTTGCTTCTTTCTTTCATTTTTTTTTTTTTTTTTTTTTTGGTGTGTGTGTGTGTGTGTGTGTGATACTAGGGATTGAACCCAGGGTTGCTCTCTACAACTAAACTATCACCAGCCCTTTTTATTTATTTTATTTTGAGATAAGGTCTTATCTAAGTTTCCCAGTCTGGCCTTGAATTTGTGACCTTGTGTGCCACCACACTATGAGCAATGAAACTTGGTAACATCATTAAGTATTACTTAAGGCATGGATGACACCACATATCACTTATTGTATAGTAGGCACTCATCTAAATGCTTTACTTACATTAACTCATATTTTGTAGTCTGAGTATAATCAAATATAATTTTATATGGTGAACATTCTTCATTTGATCGCAGCTGTTATTCCTTTACATCTTTAAATTATACCATTGCAGACCAATAGGTTATTTTCTTTTGAGTATGATCCCACTGGTGCACAAATTTACCATTGGTGCAAATTTAATACATGTGCTTATGTACACAAACATGTACATAAATATACACATATTTGTAAACATACATACATATGTAGACAAAACACACGTTTAGTGACAGTTAAGTAAGTACCAAACATTTGCTAAACCAGTATGAGGAACTTAGGAAATTACAATGCAGTTAGGGAATTTTTTTTTTTTCTTTCAGATGAGGGTGGACTCACTACACGGTCCAGGCTGACATTGAACTCCTGTGCTCAATTGATTATTCCACCTCAGCCTTCTGAGTAACTGGGACTTCACCCCCTTGCCCAGCTGAAGAGAGTATTTACTTTCTGTTAATACATATGTCAGTGTTGAAATTTTGTTCTCTAAAATGTATATGATATTTAGTTACAAAAAATAAAAGTAGGTAAGAAATTTGGAAGTAGAGCGTTCTGTATGTTGAGATGACAAACACTGAAGAACCCAACAACTCAGGCATTTATCAAACAATATTTCTTAAAACTCCCAAATGCTAAATCTGTACTTAAACACCAGTTCAGCTACCTGTTCAGGACAGGTGAACCCTTTCCATTTCCAAGGCCTTTCTTTATTCCTGGATAAACTGAGTCCTCTGAGTGGCCTTACTTTGATGCCTTCATAAATTGTGTTCCCAGTTAGCTTGGTCTATTCCCACAAGAGTCTCTGAGGAACCTTACCATAAACAATAGAAAACATACCCTTGTGTATATATAAGAATACTGTTCAGTGTCCACCCATCACCTCTAGAAAGACTATCAAATTTTTCCTAATACCTGAATGCCATGAAACAGTGACATCAGGGATGATGCTGGGGCTCAGTGGCAGAGTGCTTTGCTAGACTGCATGAGGTACTGGGTTTGATCCCCAGCACCACATTAAAAAAAAAAAAAAAAAAAAGAACATACTCTGTCCATCCACAACTAAAAAATAGAAAAACAAAACCAGTGACATCATCCCCCCAGAACCGGTCTGCTTACTCCTCGCAACCACTGTTTCTTATAACTCAGCGCCATTCCCCTGTGGTGGTGGCTGTCAGGGCTGAAGGCACGAGCTGACAGTTAACGCCACCACGATATCCTTTTGATTCACACATGTCATTCCACCAGTCACTTAGTGGGAATCATAAGAACATCAGAGTCCCACGATGCCATGATGTTGGAGTTAAAAGAGTCAAACTTGATTTCTCTCTAGACACTTTCTGATGATTAAAAAATCACAGGCATTTACAAATCTATGAGCAAATATAAGGCAGTCTGAATAGAACAAGAAAAAGTCACCTGAACACTGCTCATTTTCTTCTGTGGGGGTAAGTGGCTAACTTCCGCGTGTGCCCCGATGTCCTGGTGAGCAGTCCCCGTCATCAGGAGGGGTGTCCAGTCCGGGATGCCTCTTCCTTTCGTCCTGCTGCAGGGCCTGCGGGGTGGAGAGCGCGACGCCTCTCACGGTCCGTTCTCTAGCACTCAGCTCAGCTCCCGGCCCGAATCCCGTTCTCCGGGGGACTCTCAGCCCGCCTGCGGCTGCGTGGGATAACTCCGCGTTCCCGAGGAGGCGACCACGGGGACCCGGCCGCAGGGGCAGACGGCGGCCTAGTGCCTGCACCCCGACCTCAACAGGAAAGCGAGGCGCACGCCGAGGAAGGACGGAGAAAGGCCAAGAGCCGCGGACACACGTCCGAAGCCCAGCTCACCGGGTCACTCACGCCCACAGGAACCTGACGGCGGACACTCGGCGACCGCGACCCACAAGAGGTCAAAAAACTCCACACTGCAGCGCCCTGAGCCTTCCTCCGCCCCTCAGCCCGGCTCCCGGGCGTCCGGAGGTGGCCGCTCGGCGCCAGGCTGAGCGCCGGACCCGCGCCCGCCCGCGTCCTCGGCAACCTGCCCGGGCCGGACCTCCTGCCCGCAGGCGGAGCGCCCGCAGCCCTGCCCCGGGGCCTCCCGGCAGCCGCCGGCTCCGCCTTCCAATGTCCGACGTACGGAGCCCGCCCGCCGGCGGCGCCGGGAACGCTTCCTTCTCACCCTCTCAAGGACCCCACACCGACCGACAAGGGCCAGAACTTACTTCCCCGAACTTCCTGCGCTTCCGTTCCCCCTTGAAAAGACTAAGGCCGGCGGCCGCGGCGTTTCCATGGAGAACAGACCGCGGACCGCGAGCTTCCGGCTCTATCCTGTGACGTCAGGATCCGCGCCGCAGCCGCCAGGTGCCCTGGGCCCCGCCATCTTTGGACACCTTCCGTACAGCTTCCGGGACCCGCTGGCGCGGCTGCGACCGTCTCCAGGCAGAGCGCTTAGGCCCTGGACGGGAATGGAGAGTGTCAGAGGCTCGAGCTCACACAAGGCAAGCACGGCTATGGGCAGCTCTTCTCCACGGACGACACGCAGCCCAAACCTGGAAGGTCTGGCCGGCGCTTTCCCGAAGGCGCCGCTTCCGCCCCCCGGGGCCATGGCGGCCGGCGGGATCTTCAAAGGGCTTTAGGGCGCCTCAGTCACCATTTCTGACGCGATCGCTTCCGAGGCCGTGTGAGACCGTGCTGGCCCGGAGCTGGCGGTGCCGTTAGGGAGCGACCTGGGGGTCCCGCCGCAGGGGAGCGGCTCCGGGGACCTCCGGTGGTGGGTCTCCGACTTCCCCGGCTCAGATGGGCCTCCTCGGTGGATCCACCCGACTCGCCCGTTCACACTGCCTGCCTGTCTTGACGCTGGCTTCACCGGGACTCCACCTAGGAGAGGGCGAGGACTCTAGAAAACAGAGACGCGGGAGGTGGTTTAGGGGACACAGAAACGTGTATTTTCATTTGATACCAACTGGGAATTATGTTTGCAGTCATCAGCGGCACAGGCCTCTAGTCCACCTGTTAGGCTAGCCTCAGTGACCCAGTGAGACCTGGGCTCAAAAAATTAACTAACTAAAAAGTACTGGGGGGCATGTTGCTCAGCTGGTAAAGCAACCTGGATTCAATCCCCAGTACTAGGAAACAGGGAGGGAGAGAGAGACGTCTGGGGAGTCAGCTCGGTGTAGAGGGCTTGGGGAGCATTCCTGAGGCCCCACCGAAGAAAGTGGGGAGAAGGCAAAGATGGACCGATTACAGCAAAGAACCAAGATTTCAGTCATGCAAATATTCCGACTTCTGGTTTGGAAAAGCCCACCAAGGGTAACCAAATATGGATTATACAGATCAGAAAAATAAGCAGGACACTTGTTTCAGAAATCGCATCGAAGAGGCAAGTCAGAGTATCAAATCGGCACGTTCATTTGAGCTCATCTGCGATATTTTTAATATCTGTGATATTCTACTTCTAAAATGTACTCATTCTACTTCTAAAATGTACTCATTTTCTTCCTGCTGTAGTAATTTTCCCACAGTTCTGACCTCATGTTTGGGGGACACTTATTTTCAATATCCAACCTTTGTCTGTCTGTGGACGCATTCTTTTATGTTCCTCAAGAGGGAAAGATGAACGCAGCATCCTTTGGGAAGTGTGAATGCGGTGGGGACCACGTGCAGGTCTCTAGGAGTAGCTGTGCATCCGAACGGGAAAGGAACTGACCTCCACGATCTACACGCTGAACCTATACAGATGCCCACATCTAAACTAGTCCCATTTCTATGTCCTTAAAACACTGACCCCTCACCTTGCCAGTGACAGCATCCACCCTTGGAGGAGGAAAGCCTTGGTGCTGGGCGGGGGGATCCTATGGTCTCCTTGGTTGATTCCTTCTCGCTGGCTCCTGGAGGATTGTCAAAAACAAGACAAAACAAAAAAGCGCGTGTCTTTGGTAGTTACCTTACCAGGGTGCCATTGGAATGCTGTAGATGGTAAGAATGCCACCGCCATCACGAGGGTGGACTCGGACCTTAAGTACCGAACCGAATTTGGAACACCAGGTAAACGTGGCCTCAGACATAAGATGACTAGCATCCAATGTGCGAGCCTCAACCCACCATCTCCAGGAGCCCGGGCCTCCGGGGTCCCGCTGCAGGGGAGCACAGGCACTGCACGGAGAACTGGGGACGCCTCCCACCGGTGTCACTGCCTCCCTCCATGCCCGGAGCCTCGCGTGCAGCGGACCGAGCCTCGACCACCAGAGCCCCCCACCGCGGGTGTCTTGTTCCTTAACCTCCCCAGGACCCCTATCCAGTGACCGTCAGGCCCAGCACCAACCCAGACTCCCCTGACGCGCCCTCGCCGCCACGTCCACGGCCCTCGGCTCCCAAACCACATCCGGGCCGACTGGACCCGCGTCCCTGTCGCTTCAGCGGCGACCCTGAAGGCCGCGCCGGTGTGCACAGGTCCCCACAGGGCTGCCTGCGCCCAGAGGCTATGGGCAGGTGTCACTGAGAAGTGTCAGGACCTGGGGCCGCCCGACGCACACTTGGCGGTTAGGAGCGGGCGCTGTGCACGCAGTCATCCGAGGACATGACGGTTTTCCATTCAGCAAACAGAGTCTTCTGGGAGAGATTCCCGGCCTTTAGGGAAGGACTCAAGGGTACTAAGGAGGGCCTCCAGCTTGGAAGTTCTGCTGGAGGAGCAGCAAGGCTTGCAAAAGGAGAGATGGCTGACAGGAGTCACAGAGGCAGCGGTCAGAGTGGACCAAAGCTGCTGGCCTTTTGTGTGTCTGTCAGGGAATGGAGAGAATCATAGGTCAAATCTAGGGCAGTCCAGTGCCAGTGAAGACCAGTGCCCAAGCACAACCAAAGAGAGGGATGAGGTTTCAGATGTAATTGGATTATTTCCCTAAAAACACAAAAATTGTAAATGGAGCACACGAAAGTATTAAACAGCTAATGTAATTTTCCTTTGAGAAACAGCATGCTTAGTATCAGCTATGGCCAGGGTGAAGCTGTAAAGGATTTAAGTTGGCATTGCCTTCTAAAGACACAATCTGAAATTGTCTTATTAAATTCTATTTATCTGGGATGCCAGCCTCTGAAGTGAATTCACCGTCTGGTTCTCAAGGAGGCCTGGGCAGCCCATTTGGGGACTCTGGCTGTCAGTTCAGGTAGTAACGCGCTGGACAGGCAGATTCACAGCGGTGAGCAGAGCCGCTCACGTGTGGGCAGAGCATCCATTTCTGACTCTTTACTGTTGAGCCCCTGAACTGAATGCAGTGACAGCCACTGCTTTGCACATTTTGCTCACCAGCTTAACTGGCGTCTACAGTAGTGCCTGATATGTGCGCCCCCCAAACTATGTGAAAAGGATGGACCCAAGAACTCAGGGATTCCACTGTGAGGCAACTTTACACCAAAAAGGACCCCCTGTTTCTAACCTGGATATTGTCTTTATTGGATCAAAATTGAACTGAGCATGGGAGAGATGTCAAGGGCCCCCATTCCCCAGAGACTGGCAAGGAACAAAAATAAATCACCCTCATTTAGCATGTCACATAGGAGCCAGCATCTCTGAAATCATGGCAACTCTGAAGGCTGGGGCCTGTGGACCAATGAAAGGGTGCTTCTTCAAGATATCCAAAGGGATCTCTCTCCTTGACCCACCTCACACACTGCTGTCCTGTGTTTTGTGATTTTGTTCCTCTAATCCTTTAACTGGGCGCATTCTGTGACTTGAGGAAAGGTGGTGCTAGGATTGAACTCGGGCCCTTGTGCATGCAAAACGTGCTCTAACACTGAGCTACACTCCCAGCCCCGTTGTGGATTCTATGGTCTGCTCCTTTTACATTATGCCAGATGCAAGTCACTATGAAGATTTTTATTTTTTAAGTTTGTGGGGAAAATGATGATCCTTAGAATTTCTCCATTAGGCCCTTTCCTTCCACAACATTTTGATTAGTCCATGAAGTCATTCATGCACCCTCATCCATCTCCCAAGTCTACAATTAATTTCTATTTTGTTATGTACTGGGGAACTTACAATTATCTACAAAGTATAAAGGAATCTATGTAGACATAAAGATATGAACATTTTAAAAAAGTGTTCATACCTTGCTTCATGTGAGTACAACTAAATCAATCATCTGTCCTCCACAACTCTGCCCCTTTTCAACCAGTGTTTACAACCGCTAGCCACACATGCTGGAGGGTAAAACTGCTATGTGCACAGGACCCACCTAAAAAGAAATGCTCATTTAAAACCAGCAAGCGCTGACAGACATGGTGGCACTTGGCTATAATCCCAATGACCCAAGGCTGAGGCAGGAGGATTACAGATTCAAGGCCAGCTTTGTGAATTTAGCAAGAGCCCCTCTCAAAACAAAAAGGGATAGGGATGTGGCTCAGTAATAGAGCACCCTGGAGTTTGATCCCCAGTACAAACAAAAAATAGCCAGGGGTTTTGTTTCCTTCATCACCGCCATCACCTACTTTCTGCAACAGCACCAGCAAAAGCAAAATAGTTAGCATTTTTCTGTGTGGTGTGTTTATCAAAAATAACACAAACCACAGGGTTAGGATAATAACTGCATCCTGGGTTCAGAGTGAGGCTGGCTAGTCATGTGGTTTGAACTTCATTCCCCCAGTGGTATTTAAATAAATTGTTTCTTTTATAACCAAAAAAGTGTAAAGCTAATCATAATAATCCTGGGTAGAAAAAGAAGACTTGCGCCAGTAAAAAGGGAGATAAGTTGCATTATAACTTTAACACAAATCACCTCCTTTTAATGAAGGAGCCACTGACAGTTTGACTTAAGGTATACTGTCCTAAAATGCACTCTGTGTGTTATCTCTTGTAAAATATTAGACTTCTGATGCAAATCTCTATTCTTCATCTTCACAGGTTTATTTGCTTCAAGTATTCTCTGATATTTTACTGAAGATGTTTCAAGTGTTCACTTTTATTTCTATGTTTTCCTCTGGTAACATGATACAGAATGGTACCATGAGCAACCCTGCCACCTTCACTGCCTTCAAAGGTCTTCCAACCATTTTTCTTTGCATGACACCTACAGAGATCTTTCTTTTGGGCAAGGACTTCTCCATGGTCATTATATTTCTACCAACTTTGAGCTCACTAATCTGTGACCATTGATAAGGTTTATCTTCCCATAAATGATTTATTCAGCAAGCATTCATACTATTTTTTTTTCCCAGCATACTGTCAGCTATATAATGAGCTATATTTATACTCAAGGGTTTTCTATCTTCAATGCATCATGATTTACTCCTGTGTGATTTTTGTGACATAAAACGTGATGTAATTGATCACTGAAAGCACTATCACATTCATTGCATTCATAAGATTTCTCTTCTGTGCAAGGTCCAGTCTCTGCTGAGGGTGAATGTCTGACATCTGGCTGTCCCACAATAGCTATGCTCCTATCTGCTTGGAACTCACTGTTGCCCAATGAAGTTTGAGTTGCCACAGAAGGAATCTGCATAGTCCCCATGCTAACAAGACTCTCCTCCTGCATGGGATCATTTGTATGTGATAAGCTGCAACTCTTTGAGAAACTATTTTCTAGCTTGACTGAATCAACCTGTTTCTCTCTTGCATGCAGAATTCCCTTATGATAAACAAGGCATGACAGGTGGGAGAACGCCTTCCCACAGTCAGAGCACCCATAGGGTCTCTCTCCCGTATGAGTCCTCCGGTGTCTATTGAGGCATGACTTATTTCTGAAAGCTTTCCCACAGTCACCACACCTGTAAGGCTTCTCTCCTGTGTGGATTCTCTGATGATTAATGAGACCAGACTTGTGTGAGCAGGATTTCCCACACTCGGTACATACAAAGGGAGTCTTTCCTGTGTGGAATCTCTGATGTGAGATCAAGCATGTTTTCTGGCTGAAGCCTTTCCCACAGTCATTGCAGACATAGGGTTTCTCTCCAGTGTGAATACGCTGATGTATAAGGAGATTGCCCTTCTGGATGAAGCCTCTTCCACATTCGTTGCAAGTGTAAGGCTTCTCTCCAGTATGAGTTCGCTGGTGGACAGTGAGATTGCCTTTCTGAATGAAGCCTTTTCCACATTCACTGCATATATAGGATTTCTCTCCTGTATGGGTTTTCAGATGTGCATTGAGTTGTGATTTCCAGCGGAAAGCCTTGTCACACTCAGTACATTCATAGGGCTTCTCTCCTGTGTGAGTTCTCTGATGTTCAATGAGTCTGAATTTTCTGGAGAACGCCTTCTCACACAGGCTACATGCATGAGGTTTTTCTCCTGTATGAACTCGCTGATGATTAATGAGACGAGACTTCTTGATGAAGCCTTTTCCACAGTCACTACATACATAAGGTTTCTCTCCTGTGTGAATTTTGTGATGTGCAATAAACTGTAATTTCCAGCGGAATGCTTTGTCACACTCGTTGCATTCATACCGTCTCTCTCCTCTGTGAGTTTTCTGATGTTCAGTGAGCCGGGACTTTCTGGAGAAGGCTTTCCCACACACACTGCACCCATGAGGTTTCTCTCCTGTATGCACTCTCTGGTGATCTATGAGACGAGACTTCTTGAGGAAGGCCTTCCCACATTCGATGCATACATGGGGCTTCTCTGCCTTTTGGGATCTCTGATGTGAATTTGTATTCACAGAATTTCCATATTCAGGAAATTTAATTTCAGTAGGAAATTGTTCATGCCTGGCATGAAGGAATGATTTTCCAACTCCATTAGCCTTGACAGGATTCTCTACTTCACAGCTTCTGTTATGGTTGACTAAACTTAAATTTGATTTCAATCTTTTCCTGTGAAAGTCAAATATATCATGATTTTGCCTTAAAGGAAAGTTATTTGTTCTATGATGAATGATGTTTCTGGATGCACTGTATTTATGGCACTGTTCCACTTTCTTCTGACATCTTTGATTTCCTAATTGTATCAGTAGATGATCATCAGCTTTCTTGATTTCTAGGGAAGAGGAGAACATGATTTATTATGATATATAATGATTTATTAATCATTCTATGAGCATGTAACAGAATAAAACCACTCCACAAACAGCTTTGTATAGATTGGTTCTTTGCTGACAGCATTATTATGTAAAGTTAAAGAAACTCCAAGTGGATATGTTCATTGTCACTTGGACAGGGATAAAACACAACAGTTTAAACAAAACAAGGTAAAAATGGTCAGAGAATAAGCAAGGTTACATCATTCAAAATGAATAAATGTGACAAAAAGGCAAGCTAAAATAAAATTAAGCCACTGTGAGCACTGGATCACAGAAGTTAGAGGAATATTTGTTTCAAACTAATGAGGGGCAAATTCACATACCCACAAATCCTCATTAAATTATGACTGTGTGTTAAGCATTGCGCTAGTGATGTTGATACAGTAATATATTCCTTATATTCTCTTGAGTATAAATTCTAGTTAGGGAAAATTAAACAAGGAAGCAATGAAACATAGAAAGCAGGTACAAATTATAAAAATTGGAGATGGAAGTGGAGAAAATCAAGATACAATCTGCAGAAAGAAAAGACAAGGCTCACTCATGATTTCAACATGGGAGATTAATAAACTTAAGGAATTAAGGATTATTCCTACTGGAGTAGCACTGTTTTCATGAAAAGGGGAATAACACTGAGTTTTAAATATGGGGGAAATCAAATGTGCACTTTAGAGAACACATCATCCTTGAGAAGGTTTTAGAAATACAGAAAAAAAAATCTGATTGCATATATAAATCAAGAAAGGTCATGGTTGGGAATTATGTGGGAATCAACAGTATGTAAATATTAAGGAAAGAGGACTGGGTGAGATCAGGTTTGGAAAAAACATGTAGATGAAAACAAGATAAAGGCACAGGGCCAAGTTTACAATTGCTGTAATATTTAGAGTTTGGGTTTTGGAAAGCTCACTGAGAGGTTCCAAACACTGACTCTTCTGGAAAATAAGTAGAGGTATACTGGAACTGTTAGACCTAAGTGAGAATGTCATAAACTCAACACTCAACTTCTAGAAAACTGGGAAGACTCTTGGGTAGTCATTTTATTTTTCTAATACTTCATTCATAGACTATCATCAAACCAAATTTCCCAAAGCATCAATTTTACATTTAAAAAGCAAACTTCTGCAGTAAACATGTCAGCTTTTTAGATGGCTTAACACAATCTCTTGTATCAACTGAAAAAGAGAAAAAAACAGTGATGCCCATGGAACTCGGATCACATGGTCAAGTGACATGCTGCTGAACTAGGCAGGGAATGGTCACCTTTTCTGATCACACCCTGTGCTTGTACTGACGGAATCAAACTGTTCTTGTGGGGAGCCATTCTCACATGTGACTGGGCAACTCCCGGTTTGGGTGTGAGGCGCTCTGGCTAAACTGTGTCGGAGCTTTCCCGACCCTCTCCTGGTGCGAGAGCCTGTCCGTGTGGGGGTGTGACTTGACCACTGACCCGGGGGCCAATCACTGACCCTGACCTTGGAGTGCTGCCCCCCTCCACCTTCATTGGATGGAATTCTCCCCTGAATTTCTTGTTCCCCAATAAAAGGCCACTCCCTGGCGTGCTCTCTCTCTCTCTCCTGCTAGCCCTGAGTAATCCCTGCTGCCCTACCGGGTGGTTCGAGGTGTGAACCAGAGGGAGAGCCATCTCAGACATGGTCATAGAAAAAGGTAACTGAGTCTGTGTGTTTATTTGATCTCACTAGCTAACTTTTATGCCAAGAACCTCTTTAATGAAACCAGTGCGCTGGTCGCATGGTGGAGTTCTTACTTCATGTCTCTGTCTCTGATGTAATGATCCCCAAACTCATATTTCTTTTTTTTTTTGGGGGGGGGGGGGGGGGGCAGTTTACTGGGGATTGAATCCAAGGTTCTCTAAATCCCCAGTCTTTTTAATTTTTGATTTAAAGACAGGGTTTTGCTAAGTTGCTGAGACTCCCTTCAACTTGCAGTCCCCCCGCCTCAGCCTCTTGAGCTGCCGCCATGGCCAGCCCAAACCCCCTTCCTGGCACTCTCAGCACTGCCTTTCAAACTTCTATATAAATGGCTTAGTGGCCATAATTGAAGGGGTCCTAAAGGATCACAGCTGGGACCCCAGACCAAGGCTTCTATCAGTTTTGCCTTCTATTTTTTCTAGGAAATACTGGATGTACTTTATTGTTACACTCCTGCCACCCAGTTTAAAAGTAAGACTCCAGGACTAGGGGTGTAGCTCAGTGGTAGAGTGCATGCTTAGCGTGCATGAGGCCCTAAGTTCAATCCTCAGCACCAAAAAAAGGAAGACTATAAATCTGAAACTAACTTATACCCAGGTTCACACTCACTTAACTCCCCTACAAACACCTTCTGACCTTCATGGGGCCGGTTCAGGCCAATCTTTTAACAGTTCCTCACAAGGCCTTGTACATTTCCAATTTTACACCTTCATTCTTTTAAATTTTAATAGTGTCAGTAAAATACCAGTGACATAGAAAAATTGTATATATACAAGGCACACAATCTGATGTTTGGATGCACGTACATGGTGTAAAATGATCGCCAGGATCCACCTAATTGACATATCTACTGACCTTCACTCCTTGCCCTTCATCATATCCTTTATTCAAACCCTAGATACATCTCCTACATATCATGCTCTCATTCCCCGTTCTAGGTGAACACAAGATGTCTTCCATAAATTTCTAAAGCATTCCCTATCTTTTTTTAAAAAAATAAATTTTATTTTATTTTTTACACAAACAGATCACAACTTTTCATTTTTCTGGTTGTACATGGCATTCCCTATCTTTATTGCTTATTTTGAGAGTCAATTTCACACAGCCCTGTACTGCAGGAGAAGATGCCTCCGGTTCAAAAGCTGAACTTCCATGTATTTATTACAACTAGGTCTCTCCTCTATTAAAATCTGATTCTTGGAACGCACTGTTGTTTCTCAGTAACTTCCATCTCTTCTAGCACACAGTAGGGCTGTGATTTAACAACCAGGCTCAAGAGAGCCAACTTACAGCACCATATATAGACAAGCCAAGACTATCACCCCAAATCTACCAAATAGACTCAGAATGGGAAGATAAGGCAAGAGCATCACAAGTTTAAGACCAGCCTGGGAAACTTGGCAAGACCCCATCCCAAAATAAAACTAAAAGGGCTGTAGATGTAGCTCAGGGAATTCAATCTCCAGTACTATGAAAAACAGACAGAAAGAATGAAGATACACACCATAGGAAACCGTTCAGTTAATAAAAACTCATCTTTCTGATTGTGAGTTGTCCAAGTTCTTCATCTGTACCCCCTTTACAGAAGACATTACTCATGCCATATTTCTCTCACCTAATCTCTCGTGACTTGGGACATCCAACCAGAGAGTACTTCATGAATATGGGCAAGCACATCTAATTATCAAGTCCAAAGCAGATTTAATTTCTCAAACATACACCTACCCTGGGCCCCTGAACTTGTGACCATGTCTATGTGAAAGATAATTCACCTAAACGATCCACTCAAGGGCCCTTCCTATCCTAAAGAGCAGCTCTAGTCCCCCTCACACACTATTCTATTATGGTATTTTACTATTCTTCCCAGCAATTTTCATAACTAGGTATTTTTTTTATTTACTATTTTTTAGTTGTAGATGAAAACAATACCTTTCTTTTATATATTTATTTTTATGTGGTGCTGAGGATAGGACCCAGGGCCTTGCACATGCTGGGCAAGCGCTCTGCCACTGAGCCACAATCCCAGCCCACAAGGTATTTTTTTATTAACTTTGCCTCCTTTCAGAATCTAATCCCAAGAAAAATTCTTGTTGTTATTGTTGTTTACAGCTATCAAGATCAATATGTAATAAACTATCAAAACTACTTAATGTGAAGTCTGGGGTTGTGGCTCAGTGGTAGAGTGCTTGCCTAGCATGTGTGAGGCACTGGGTTTGATACTCAGTACCACAAAAAAATAAATACATAAAAGATTAAATAAAAAGAAGAATGCTTAAAAAAAACTACTTAAAGTAATCAAAAAGTATTTAAAGCAATGAAATAAAGATTTATATGTATAAAGCACTTTGCGGAAATTATTTTAAAGGCAGATGACCTTGAGTTTAGGAGAAGAAAGAGGAAAAAAAGTTTAATAAGCAAGATGATACCAATCATGGAGATCCATCGAGAACACCATTTGAGAGAAGAGAAATTTCCACCTCATGTGAATGACCACGATGATTAACTGGGACTTAATTCCATTGGATAAACGGTAAGAAAAGGAAAGCTTTCAGGGAAAAATCCCAAACAATGAGCAGAATGCAGAATTAACAACCACACAAGGAAATTAAAGCACAGCAGCCATAAGGCTCAATGATGAGGTTTGGACTCAGGGAAAATAAAAGGGAGCCAAAGAGGTAGAAGAGTTTCAAGGCCCCTCCACAGTGGCCAGCACAGACTCAAGGAGCTGCAGTGGAAAGGTAAATACTCAGTATCAGCACTTAGCTTAGAAGAACAGAGGGACATACTGACATGACAATCTCCACAGAAAATAGAGGTCAATGGAATGATGGAAACTTTTACAGGGTCAAGAACAGAGTGAAATGTGGGAAACAAAACCTTTGCTGGACCTCAGAATGGGCAAAGAGAAGCTTAAGAGGCAGTCAGGTGCAGAGGGACAGACCAGGTTACCAGGGGGCACAGAACCCCAGATGGGGTGGATAATAGGAAGGGAAAGCAACATCCTACACAGGGGCAAAAGGGCTCTAGGAGGACAGCTTTGAAACCAAAGACCTCTCCTTGAGAAAGGCATGGAAGGTAGGATATTTCAAAGTAACAGAGACAGAAGAAACAGGTAGTGGTATGCTGGTGGGGAAAGAATGGCAAGAGCTGAGAATCCTAAAAACAAGACTAGAGGGAAACAGTGATCAAATCCAAGAAGAGACAAAGAGGAACTTTGAAATACATGGCTCCGCGTGGGGAGCAGGGTTTGTGAAGGCTGTTTACACATCCTCAGGCCCTCTCACATCTGCGACTTCTCTGACAAGTAGACTAGGACTTCCTGGTCCACCCTCCTTGCAGGTTTCACTCACTCACCTGAACAAATTTGACCATGGATTTCATCTTCCACTGTCCATGGTTCTCCTCCTAGCAACTTGGAGAGGGCATCGGGCTTGCTGGCTTGACACCCTGTTCATGGGAAATGATAGTCTTAGGTTCATCAAACTGGGCTGTGATCTGTCAACAACAATGTTCTATTTTAGGAACTACGTAGTTTATATCTGCAAAGCAAAGGCTTTGCTCTCCGAAGGGAGCATAATACACCCTCTTATCTGGGGCCTGAGAAGGACTGAGAGGCCACCCTTGAAACACCACAGGACCTCCAAGGCGTTCAGACACTGAGAAAGAAAAGGCCACAGACTGGCACCCTCTGAGCTGCACAGGGCAGCCTTCCTCACCCACTGACACCAGGTTCCTGCAGTTCTCCAACATCACGTCCCGGTACAGGTCCTTCTGAGCAGGGCCCAGGAGGTGCCACTCCTCCCAGGTGAACTTCACAGCCACGTCCTCCAGTGTCAGCAACTCCTGGGGGAAAAAAAAATCCTACTTAATATGAAGTCTTTCTTTTTCATAGATACAGAGGAAATGTGAAGGATATTATGCTGCTCATTTTCACCATTTAACCTGTATCTATATACCTAGGTGTTGTGATTTTTTTAAATTTTGTATTTATTTTTTATTTATATAGGACAGTGGAATGCATTACAATTCTTATTACACATATAGAGCCCAATTTTTCATATCTCTGGATCTCTGGTTGTATACACAGTATATTTACATCAATTCCTGTCTTCATACCTGTACTTTGGTAAATAATGATCATCACATTCCACCATCATTAATAAGCCCATGTCCCCTCCCTTCCCCTCCAATCCCTCTACCCTATCTAGAGTTCATCTATTCCTGTAATTTTTAAAAACAGTATACTGTGCAGGGCCAAGGGGTATATGCTTATCCCAACTACTAAGGAGGCTCAGGCAACATGGGCAACTTAGGGAGAACCCTGTCTCAAAATAAAATAAAAAGGGCTAGCTCAGAGGGAGAATGTTCCTGGGCTCAATTCCCAGGATATTCCCACCCCCCCACACACACACCTATAGAGGCACACATACGTACAGGCAGTACACACCAATACCCACTTGTTAAAACTGCACGAGGGGATTAGGAAAGAAGGTGTGAAAAGAAATCCTTTTTTTCCCCCTTTAACTCTATATAATCTAATGATTGGAGAAATTGTTTTTTAATCTTTTGGTATACTCATGCACAACTGTATAATTAACTTTTTAAATAAGATAATAAAGGAAGCAGTAGGTAAGGACTGACTTTAAATGAAAAGAAGTATGCACTGTCTTGGCTAGGGGGAAGTTTTAAGACAACAATACCTTCAACTCCCTACTGTCAAAGATGCACTCAAACACCAGTTTAGCCACCAGTTCATATAGAAAAAAAGCCAAACAATCTTTCAATTTTCCTACTTCATTTACATTTTATTTCTAGATTGACCCTAACATCCATTAAGGCTGGGCCCATGGGTCATCTTGCTATGGGCTGCATGAACAACTGTGTCCTGACTTCTCTTGGCCTCTACCTGAAGGATACGTTGAAGAACTGTGCTTAACATTTATGAGAAAGCTGCAGTTAACGACATCCTCTATGAGGCAGTGGTGTGGCTCAGTAGTAGAGCATGCACACCGCACCCACAGGCCCCGAGTTTGATTTCCAGCACTATCAGGGGAAAAAAAAAATTATCACATTACTTCTGGAAGGCCTAAGTGCTATGAAATAGTGACACCTCTCACAAACTAGTCTGCTTTCTCCTCAGTCAGTGCACATGACCATGAGGAGTCTCTCTCTGGTTGTGATGACTGTCGGACATTCAACAGAAGGTAATAGCTCATGTAAGTAACAGAATCCTCCAGTCACAAACTATGCTTTAGTATTAGTCATTCAATATGAATTCTACTGTACTGTTTTTATTCAAAATACTTCTGACACAAAGTATCAGAACTATTGGATATCCAACAATTTAATTCAATTCTGACACCAACTTCTTGAGTTAGTGAAGGCCCGCCATTTAAGGGCTGAGTCCCACAGTCGCAAGCATGGAGTCCCCAGGTTATCCACACTTCTGTCTGACTTGGCTATTAAGCTGGGGGTTCCCACAACCCACACACAGGTTCAGTGACGTTCTACGACAACTCAGAACTGAGGAAAGCAACTTACTTACTACTACCAGTTTATTATAAAGGGTATAACCAAGGAGCAACCAGATGGGAGAGATGCACAGGGTAAGGCATGTGACGTGGGAACTGGGGACGTCGAAGTCTTCCCTGGGTGCACCACAATATGTTCACAACTCAGACTCTAATACTGTCGTTCAGAGGTTTTTATGCAGGTTTAATTATATGGGCATGATTGATTATATCACTGGCCATGGGGGACTGGACTCAATCTCCAGCCCCACTCCTCTCCCTGGAGAATGGGGGTAAGGAAAGCTCAAAGTTCCAAGCTTCTGAACAAGTTTCAGTCTTTCTGGTGACCAGCCTCCATCCTGAAGCTAGGTTCCACTAAAAGTCACTTTACTAGAACAAAAAGGGTTCTATCATCCTTATCCCACTCAGAAAGTTCCAAGGCTTTTCAGAGCTGAACACCAGGACCTGGGGACAAAGACCGTATTTCTTTTTAGAGACCACAGTATGAACCACAAATGATCCTAGGTCTAAAGTCCTCCAGAAATGAATCATGGAATGAAGAGAAAAATAAAGCAAACCCAAAGTCACCTGGGGGTTGATCATGTTCTTCTGCTATTGGGAGATGGCCAATAACCTGGGGACTGTGCCTTCAGTTCCTTCTTGAACTGCTCCAAAATTTCTGGTTAGAAATCTTAAGTCTCCAGTCAATGGTGTCTCCACAAATGGGGGTAGCAGGTCCAGGAATGTCCTCACTTCCCGTGATGTGTCTTGCTCCAGGAGCTACCTGTGTGCTGAGGAGTGAACACAGTTTGAGCATACATCCCCTCACATATGCACTTCACGCCCACCTCTAGCCTTTATTGGGGTCCCAGAACCTAAGGGCAATAACACTATTTTAAATGTACGGGCAACGTGTCTTTCTCCTATGAAACGGAAGTGGGATGACTGAATGGTGAAGTGGGAAAGGCGAACCAGCAAAATACCAAAAGACTGCTCAGGTCTGTTTTTAGAAAGAAGACATACAGAAGGTGAAGATCTGGACATTTATTGCTTTAAAAACGTGCACTCATGTACCTGTGTAAAAGGCTACAGACACCTTGTGTGTATGCACACTCCATTTAAAGACAAATGTAGTAAGTAAAACACAGCCATTATCTTAATTATTTATCACTAACCACTTTATTACATTTAAGCTACAAATCATTATTGCCAATTCCAGCACTGACCAAAGGGTTACAGACTGTCTTTCCTAAAAACATACTGTCATGAGCCGTCTGTGGGCTGTATGTGGACTATGTTGCACACAGTAGCTCCTGAGGGGATCAGTCTGGCACTGGGAACTCCCTGGGATACTCCCCATAGAGACTGACCACCTGATTCAGGTGAACTTCCCCCTTAAGCTCCACCTAAGATCCCCTAAGAGATAGATGTGACCTGCCAAGATGTCAATCAGCCTGACTGCAAGACATCACAAAACAAGACTCTGCCCTTGAAACCTCACCCCTGCCTTTGACAGACCCCCGCCTTAAATAAACCACTTTGAGCCATTTTGTCTTTGTCTAGTTTAAGAACTCATGTGGACTAGATCTATCAGGGGCTTCTCTTTTGTAACATATTTCTGAGTGTTTGTTTTATTATTTGTTAATTACTAGAGATGTTAAGATTTAAAATGGTTTAATTGTTTGAGATATTAAGACTTAGGGTGGCTATTTAGGGAGGCTTGGATTCCTCTGGGAAGAAGAACCCTCCAGTGAGACCCTGACCATCTTCCCCCCGAAAACATGCCATGTGGCAAAGCTAGAATTCGCACTCAGCTGCCCCTCTCTAAGAACATGGCTTTAGTTGCCACTGTATTCCCTTGGCCACACACCCTCCTAAGACTTTTCTCTTTTCTACTACCTTAGGGAGTTTGAATTGCACAAGGTCACATGGTGAGTGGCCACACAGCCAGACATATGATTTCAACTTCCAGAATCAGCTCTCTTAAGAGTGACACATGCAACTACCTTCTTCCACAAAAAGGGAAAGTTCATGTCGCACACCTGTCCTGATAGCAGCAGGGAATCAGCAGCCTAGAGGATTTCTAAGGGCCAAATTCTGGAGCTCCAGTGAGAAGCTCACATCACGAAAGCATTAACTTGAGGGAGTCACCTTGAGTTCCCCTTCTACCCCACTGGCTAGAAACATGATGACAAGTTCCCTGTGGCTCTCCTGAATCCTCCAACCCCACAAGGCCTGTGCTTACACATCCTCCTACCCATGACTGTACATTCTCCTCTCCCATATTAGTGCCAAAAGTCCATCAACAAGGCAGCAGAACTTCCAGACTTGCCTTGTTGGAACACTACCAACGGAAATGTGCAGAGCCCAATAATGTAGTCCTGAGTAGAAGGTAGTGGGTACAATACTTCAGAGGAACCCAGGTATGCACTTTACATGGTAAGGCTTCCTTTCTCACGTCTCCACAGCCTTTATCCAAAAATACTAGAAGATTCCACCTCATTTTCAATCTTTAAAACCTTTCTGTGGAATATAATCATTTCTGTTACCTCTAGAGGCTGGATCATTTCATTGAATGGGGAGTATTGTTCTTGAAAGTGCATGTGTATGTATACACGTAGAGCCACCCAGAAAACCTCCACAAACTCCAGAACATCACTCCCAAACAGGCTGTAGTCACCACTATGTGAAAAACAAACAACACAGGAAAATCAATAGAAAAACTTTATTATATGTAAAACAAAACTATCACTTACAGACACATACACATTTAGTAAAACATGCATGATGTACAACAAGTTCAAAAGAGCAGCCACCTTTGAGGAGGGAGGAGACACAGACTAGAGGTATCACTGAAGGCGTACTTGCAGAAGATTGTTTAAAAAATAAAATTAAAAAAAACCACCACCACCACAACAACAAATAATCACATACATCACTAAGCAAAAATGGCAGAGTAGGCCTATTCCTCCACAGAAACTTTAGAAACTCAAGTAAAAACAAAATTAAAAACACTTTCTCAAAATAAGTTATATCTAGTGAATTTTGCCTCAACAACAACAAAAATTTTCCAACACATCCTACATATACACAGTGAAACAATATAAGTATTTTCTCTAAAGCCAAGAGCAAGGGAAGGAGGAGCAGTATCACCATTTTTATCTAGAGCTATTTTGGAAATACTATCTAATTAATTATGTAAAGATTCTAATAATAATTAATATTTTTAAAAGGAAGCAAATTATAAGACATTGCTCAATATTATAAGCAAGAATCAGAGTTTCACAAATTTAACTGAACATATGTCAACATAAGTTTTCAGTCAGATGGAAGATTACAGAGTTTGTATCTAAAAAAAATGATAATATTCCAAAACGCACATTTCTTTGTCAATATTAAAGGATGAAACAATTTGGGGAACAGCTTAACAATCTGTATGAATACTTTCAAGTCACATGCCTATAATCCCAGCTGCTCAGGAGGCTGAGACAGGAGGACCGCAAGTTCAAGGATAGCCTGAGCAACCAAGCAAGACCCTATCTCAAGCATAAAAATATATAAATAAATAAAAAGGGATGGACTCAGTCGAACACCACTGAGTTCAATCCCCAGTACCACACACACAAATTACTTAGGTCTATTAAGAGAGAAATGGTTGAATGAGTAAAGATATACATCCAATGAAACACTAAGCAGCTGTTAAAAATACTAACAACCTCGGGCTGAGGGTGTAGCTCAGTGGAAGAGCACCTGTTTCACATGTATAAGGTTCTGGGTTTGATCCCCAGCTTACAAACAAAACAACTTTAAAAACCCCAGGAGTCTACATGTAGTGAAAAATGTACAGCATAAGCACATGAAAAGTTGCTCAACAGCATGATGTCTTTCAGAGAAAATCATGAGATACCATGTCACACCACCAGAATGACCCTAATTATAACCTGAAAATAACCTGTTGGTGAGTATGAAGGTACAGGAACACTCATATACTGCTAGTGGGAATAGCAAATGGTGCAGCAGCCATTTTGGAAAACTGCCTAGTAGTTCCTCAACTGCTTAAACATATTCACTATGTACCTATCAACTCTATTCCTAGGTTTACATACAAGGGAAATAAACACATATTCACGCACAAGTTTGCCCACAAATATTTATAAAAGCATCATTTATAAGAGAACAGAGGAGACAAAAAAAAAAAAACATCCACCAGTTGGGGAAGTATTAAACAAGATGTATCATATCCATATGAGAGAATATTATTCAGGCATAAAAACAGATGAAGTACAACAGTATGCTACATCATGGATGAATCTTAAAAGTGGTATATTTAAAAGCCAGTCACAAAAGACCACATAATGTATGATTGCATTCAAATGAAATATCCAAAATAGGTAAATACATAGAGACAAAAAGTAGATTAATAAATGCTTAAAGGTGGGGTGGGGGTGCAGGAATAGGGGAATAGAAGGCATAGGGAGTTGTTGCAAAAAGTTTTGCGGTTTGTTTTCGAGGTGATAAAAATGTTCTAAAGTTGGGACTGAAAAAGTAGTACAGTGGTAGAGTGCTTACCTAGCATGCACAAGGCCCTAGGTAAATTATCAGCACTGCAAAAAAAAAAAAAAATGGTGATGATTGCACATAGGAAACACCACTCAATTTCACATTTTAAGTGGGTGAATTAAGTATGTGAGTAGTAAAGCTGATATTAGAAAAAGGCTACCAGTAGAACTTAATCACTGTACACCCACTGAAATATTTATAGAGAAAAGTATGAATGTCAGCAACTTACTTTGAAATGTGTCCCCTGCCACCCAATATTTAAAAAGATGTGTTAATGAGGAGAAAGGGCAATACATAGATAGATACATGTTAAAGAAAGCAAGAAAACAAAATCTAGATGAAATTTTTATATTTGAAAATTTTCAGGTGTTAGGGGCTGGCAAAGCTTATACTAAGAAGAATTCAGTTAGGTAACCGGAAACAAAAAAAATATTTTTAAACTAACTGTTCTTCTGTGTAATAGTAAACTAAAAGACATCAAAAAGGTCAAAAAAATATCATTTACAATTGAGAAAAATAAAAAAGTTCAGAGGGAGCAACACGCTTGGGTTAACACAGAATCAAAACCTGTTTTCCTTTTTTTCCCACGTGATGTAAGAGTCTAAACCCAGAACCTCTCACACCCTAGGCAATTGTTCTACCACTGAGCTACATCCCCAGCCCTTTTTATTTATTTATTTTATTTGAGATAGGATCTCACTAAGTTGCCCAAGCTAGTCTTGAACTTGTCATCCTTTTACCCAGGCTCCCCAATAGCTGGGAGTAGCTGGGATTACAGGCATGTGCCATGGCATCAGTCTCATTACCACACTTTGAAAGTGATAACTGAACTTTCAAAATATTAGTATTCTATCTAAGCATATGCATATACTTAGTGAATCCAGTCACAACGGCACAGGTTTGCCTCTTGGTGCATACTATCACAAAATTCCCTTTTATTTTTTGAGACAGTGCTCATCATTTTGCCCAGGTTGTCTCAAACTGGTGGGCAGAAGCAATACTCCCCCTGCAACCTCCTGAGCACCTGGACGACAGGTGTGTATCACCAAGTCTGGATCTATCACTGAACTTTTGAAAACTACTTTTATACAAAAAACAATTATAAAAGCT